TATCACGGGGGTAAATCTCTTCTCTCTCTGGGTCTCCACACTTGTCAGGGGGGAAACTCGTCTCGTCTCTATATCTCGTCCCCTTGAGGTACGGGATCGGGAAAGTCACTTTAACTTTACAGTCAAATAAGGCACACACAACGAAATACGTTTCAGCTCTCGTCTTAGTCGGTCAATCGAGCACTCTATAAGACACAGCGCCCTGGGGAAAAAAATCCCCAAGACTCTCGCAAGGCTGACCCAAGACTCGCCCAAGACTGGACTGCCTCAAGGCTCGCCCCTGGACTCTCTCGGACTGAACTCGACTGCCCAAGGCTGCGTCTGTCGTGGAGTATTCGCCAAGACCAACTCAAACTCTCTTTATTCATTTTCAAAACTCTGACCAATTACAATGCAGTAAAAAGACTCTAGGGCGTAACCTTCAATCATAAAGCCAATCACACTAAGTACTGAATACGTCATATCTTTTGATTAATCGTTCACTACATTAATAACTGTGGAATACCAACTGTCAGAATCGCGACGGATATCTCGTAATTAGTTCCAAATCACTGAGCCAAGTTCCGTCCAAAACTTCAAATAGACCTGAACGATGACAGACATAACACAGCAATTCGCTAATAATCAACTAATTAAGTCGACCAACAGATACACGAAAACAAATTCATGACAGTACCTCGATGTTGATGGTTCCGGCTCCATAGCAAATGCCGATTTTACTGCGGGTTGATCTTCTGAGAGCCCTTCAGGATAATAAAACTCGGTTTCCAGGTGGTCAACATACATAAAGTTCTCCCAATCGTAGTATTCCATGTGATATGCCAAAAAAAAATAGCAGACGGATAAAAATAGCAGACGAAAATTTGTTTAGAAAATAAAAGTAGTTCGGTCGCCAATGGAAATACCATGCTCATTTGCATATCGACCGTGAAAATACCGAAAACATTATTGCATGGGTGATATGCAAATTAGTTTTAGTAAAAATAAGTGACTGCCTAAAATTACCATTACTGTTGTTCAAATTTTATTTCACTCGGCAAGTATATTCATGTACCCTAAGGGGAAAATATCGTACTTCTAAATGTTGTTTATTTCTGCTATGTTTCGAAAAACGGTACTCCTGAAGGGAATACTTTATTTGCTCTCAGACCTCATTTGCATATGGGGTGTGGAAATACCGATTTTGATTTCAGGGACGAATCAAAATAAACTGCAGTACATATGTAATAATCTTTGGTACTTCATTAATGAATCATTAATTATTCATGTATGCTAACTAAATATGGAAATTAATTTGCATAAGCATGAATATTCATGTTTTGTTATCATTAAGGCTTCATATACCATACACCATGTTGTGGTAACTTTGCTACTATCCTTTTCATCTGTGACAACATAAATTCACTTGCATCTGATTTATTTTATTTTATTTTACAAGACACTTCGCGATGTTCTTCTTTCGCAGTCAGTAATATTTACGAAAATTTTTGTTCACTATTTCATAAACTGGCTTGGCAATTCTCACCACCAATTAGACAATGTCACAGCATATCGGCTACTTTTTTCAACAAATCCAAAATCAAAACTTTTTTTTTACATTTGTACTATAAAAAAAGGGTATATAATAAATATAACAAGTAATTATTCGTATGTTCATACTTTATAAGGAAACTTATTTGTATTTGTTGCGAATATTTATGGTGTGTTAATCATTGAAAACATTGATAAGACAAATTTAAAAAATAAGATAAAAATGTAATACAATTATTTTGTCATGTTGAATTATTTGGTTTCATTTTTAGCTGGTCTTCGATTGCTGTGATATATCTGTTATCATATTTATTCAGCACACCGAGTAGAGTGTATGCTGTTATACTGGTGGTCAATCTGTTTATTGTACCACTACAACTTATTCATTCTTAGTTGTACAGAAATTAAATACTTACAGTGAGGTAAGATTTGTCTATTGTGGACAGCGCATTTTATTATAAATTATTAAGTTGATCAGTATGTGACAGTATATTTATTGATTTATTAAAAATTTATTGCAGTAAATATTATTATATATACAAACAATTTGATGTTACTGTAACAACGTTAGAATAGAAATTAAATCATTTGTGTGATGTATCCCTAGTATATGAATGATAATCAGTTTTATACTGCATTCATGACTAAGCGCCCACCCCCAATTTGGGGAAATATGTGTTTTTGGGGTTACAATCAACTGTGACCTGTTCACAGATGTAATAGGTGTTAAAATACTTATTCAACAAATTGCAAATCACCAGCTTTGAAAAAGAAATTGTATAAACATTGATAATTTACTTCTGCATTATGCTGTCGAGAATTTCATCATTATTATTTGGAAATTCCTAGTAGAGTGTCTGTGGTAAAACACAACATTCTAATAACAGACTTAACTTGTCAGAGGGCGCTGGTGAAGGGTAAATCATGCAAAAAAAAACATTATTGTGGAAATTGCTTCGCATACAACTGAAAACAAAGTTAATGATGAATCTTTTTTACTTCAACCACTTTCCCACAGATCATAACAATTTTACACCATAAATTATAATGGTATGTAAATAATATTGTATGTACGTATTTTTTGTGATGTATTGTACGTATTTTTTCGTCATTGTAAAAGTGTTGTGGAAATTATTGACAAGGCAAATCATTTCGCAATTTTATTCTCCCCAAAAAAGACATACTATTCCCCCCAATAATTGTCTTTTGACCAATGTTTCAAGTAGAGTGCTCGACTAAGTGCCAACTCCCTAAATTTTTAGAGTTGAGAATCCTGGACGCGAAGTCGGACGAGTATGGTAAATTATTTCTTGTATTTGAATAACCAGCTCATTTGCATAATGTGTTTCTTGTATTTTAACAAAGCCCAGTTTATTTGCATAATTAATTCCCCATAATCAGTTAATTTGCATAATTTTCTTTGTATTTGAATAGTAACTAGCTTAACCCTATATGCATAATTTGTTTAATAATATATTCAACATTCCAACATTTTTTCTTAGTTATCCGACAGTAGCTCAGGAGAGTTGATTATTAAGAATGTTTTGTTGATATTTCCTTGTTTTGGTCTTGGGCGTGGACTCATGGACATTGCTTACAATGATTATTTCAACCGATTTTATGAAAACACAGGTGAGTTATTTTGATGAATTTGTTAGCTCATGACAAACTGAATCATAACAATAGTTGAGATGCTGTTATTGAAAATGTCAGTTTTTGTAACCTGTAAGGTTAAACTTTTATTACCCCTTGTTTCGTGAACCCGCCGAATGAACAGGAGCCGAAATTGAAATAAAAATAAAATTTTATTTCAGCGTAATTTCTAGCGCCCGCCAAATTGTAAGTGCACAAAATTACTAAAAAAAAATTATTTTTATCTTCATTATTTTTCCGCCCGCCGCATAACAAATCCAAGTTGCATTTTCGTGGGAGTATCATGATCAAAATACCGAAATACCTTATAAAAACTTGAGAAACAAGGAATAAAAAAAGTCTGGCCTAATGAAAAACAAGAATATTGATGTAATTATGTATGGATGTAATTAAAAAAATGTTATTAAAAATGTATCAGAATTAATTTTATGAACTCCATTAAGCTGATATCTTTTAGATCTGACTGACTTGGATCTGACAAATTTAGCTGTGTCTATTAATATGTGAAAAGCTACAGATATTTATTTTATAGAATGATTTGATGAAATTGACACTATTTGATAGAATGATTTGATGAAATTGACACTATTT